AAACTGGATCTACTCTTAATTTAGTTTGAAACTGAAATAGACACCAAAATTATGAACTGTTTACATAATGATTATTATGCCTATTTTTTCTTCTCCAATATTGAAACGGCTTTGGACTTAAAAAACAAAATAAAATGTTTTTCTATGTCTTTTAATACTTAGATCAATTTACGAGCCATGGACCAATTTGGCTAAAGTACTCACAATTAGATGCATGAGTATTATTACTTAATGTTATAATGGAGAAGAGAGTGCGGTCCCATCAGATGAAGGCGCACCATAAAAGGGTGAGCCTAGATGCACCTTAGTGAGGTTCCACCCAAAACCAATTGGTGATGGGAGGAGTAGTCCACTAGGCTTATATACTAGACTCATTTTCCCTATAGAATCAATGTGGGACAACTCACAAGTGATATTCCAACACGTCCCCTCACTTGTGAGTCCTTCGTAAGCCCAAGCCCACATCGCAGGCCGGATAGAGAGATAAGCCCAAGCCCAGAGCAGGCCGGGTACAGAGAGTCATTGCAGGTCCTAGGACAGGCTCGCTCTGATACCATGTTATAATGGGGGAAGAGAGTGCAGTTCCACCAGATGAATGCGCACCATAAGAGGGTGAGCCTAGATGCACCTTAGTGAGGTTCCATCCCAAAACCAATTGGTGATGGGAGGAGTAGCCCACTAGGCTTATATACTATACTCATTTTTCCTATAAAATTAATGTGGGACAACTCACAAGTTATATTCCAACACTTAATGACAAGATCATATCCTTGAGAAGATGTCCTTCATTGTCTCAATTTTGATTATTGGGCAACTCAATAGGGAGGTGATATTCATCAATCACAATTAATAAATAGGTTAATAATTGACCAATTGATTGTCCTATAGTACCTATACATTATTATTGAAGGGAATATACAAATATTTGCTGGTGTAAATGAATGAAGTCAAGTTCCGCCGGTCCATATTGCTTGAGCTCGAGTTTCAGCCCTTAACAAGTTTATAAGTAAGCTTGAGTTTGACTCGTTTATCAATATTAAAGAATCGAACTTGACAAAAAATTGAGTTTTAACGAGTTGAACTATAGAAAATTAATTGTATAAAAGAATATCATTTGAGTTTTAGCGTATCGAACCGAACTAAATGAGCTTTAATAATAAACCGAGCCAACTCGAGATCATGAACGGCTTATTTCATTTAAAAATAGGAGGCTAAAAAGTGAGATTGAGACTCTACTTTTGGGATGCCAAATACACCACACCGACACATTATTTTCATCCTCCTCTCTAGAAAACTTAGATAAAACTTGCACCATATGCATCTTGGGAAATGTTTTTGTTGGAGATAAGAAAAAAAAATAAAATATACAAATAAAATGAATTATTACTTTTTGATTGCAATAACATTCAACTAATAAATGACAACAATTGGTTTTTAAAAATAACGTGTAACAAATAATTCAATATTTTTCTAATAATAAAATTTAATATTTCTATTTTTTACATCATCATTGTGTAGAGAAGCTCAACTATTTTTGGTTTTCTTTTTTAATTAAAAAAAAATCTTTTTTTTTTTATTGACTTAGAAATTAGAATATATTGCTGAAAGTCGTAGGGGGGCTTACATGCCACGTGGCGATCAAAACTTGGTCGAATT